ACTGAAAAGAGAAGAGAAAACGATTGTAACGCCCGTGTTCATCTCCAGCGGCTTCCCGATGTGGACTCACGCCCCTGTTGCCACGCCCTCTGCACAATGATGAACTCCACTTTCAAACCGAGCCACAAGAACCCTTCTTCAAGTAGCTTTTGTCAGAGCGGTGAGAATACAGGCAAACAGAGGAAACCAGCCTGCTAAAGATGCGGGGCAGACACTGGGCTGGCTCCTGCCCTCTGAGGCTAGTCCAGCATCCTGGGATCTAGATTTCCCCCGGAAACCAAGAATGAAAATGCCAACCAGGAGGCTACACAGCAGCTCTTTTGTGTGCCACTTGAGAGAAACTTGATGAATATGTACGGAATTTTCTCTCCAAGGAATGTAAGGGGACGGGTGTGTCATTGGTCACAGAAGGTCAGAATTCACTGTGGACTGGTAAATCTTTGTGCCTGGCGGACACAGCCACTGGGGAACTGGGTGGCTGGGTGTGCAGCTGAGCTTGCTGGAGTTTTGGTTCAGGACTTGTGACCTTGAACAGGACTTGTGACCTAGACTTTGTAGCAGCCTGGGAATGACTGGGGGAGGCTCTGGCAATCCTGCAGAGGGATGGTCCCACTCAGCCAGTTTCTCGAGGGCATCAACAGTTTCAGTTTACACAGTAGGGCTGCTCCCCTGCCCCTTTGAACAGAAGTAGGAACGGATTCCTGTGCTTTCCCAGATCTGTCTGAACTGTTTTTACATATCTGAGGAGCCCTGCATCCTTAGATATTATTTCCCCTTTACATCTGAACAACGTTTCTAAGAACCTCACACATCTGAACAACATTTCTAAGAACCTCACAAATGGGCAAGAGTTGGAAAGGGGCAATTGGCGGGGTGGTGTCCGGATGCAGGGCTGCTCTGGGCTTACCTGAAAGGAACTGAAATTTTTTTATTGTTGTTCTTTTGTTTTTCTTTGTTTTTTGTTTTTTAGAGACAGGGTTTCTTTGTGTGGCCCTGGCTGTCCTAGAACTCACTCTGCAGACCAGGCTGGCTTTGAACTCACAGAGATTGGGTGGTCTCTGCCTCCCAAGTGCTGGGATTAAAGGTGTGCCCCACCACCATCTGGCTAAGGAACTGAATTTTTATCACTGTCCTGGACAGGATAGGTGCAGGGACTACTGTGTCCTCTGAGAGTAACCAGGATGAGGTTTTAGATCTCTGGGGTGACCAGCCACACAAGTTGTCAGCCTGAGCCTTGAGGAGTTCTAAGACTATGGAGGTTTTTGTTTTGAGACACCATCTCCTGCACGGCAAGGCTGGCCCTGAACTCACTCATTGAGAATGACATTGAACTTCTGTCCCCTTACCTCCATCTTCCAACTCTGGGCTTATGTGTCCACTATATGGTGCTGGGGATTGAACCCATGGTTTTGTGCATGTGAGGTAGCCCTCTACCAACTGACCATAGCCCTAGCCCCAGGTTTGGATTTTTGTTAGGTTTTGTTTGCTTTCCAGGGCTGGAGACTCCTTCCAGGGGATCCCCTTGAGGGAAGCTCTCAGTCACTACAGTCTCCTTAGCCTTGGGATTCTGCATTAAGTTCATCGGAATCCCAGGACAAAGGAGCTTGCCAACCGCTCTCCCTGGTGCTGGTTTATCCATCTCTGGCTCCCACAGGATGTTCCAGAGTCACCCTGTCCCTAGGGACCAGAAGTAAGATAGGGACATCCCTTAGTTTTCCATGCGAGCACCATCGGGAGACTGGAATTCTCTGACTACTCTCAGGAATCCAGAAAGTCAAACTGGTCAGGACTGTGGGGGATCCCCACACTGGTGAGCCCCACATGTGATCAGGGGGAATACATTTAAATGGACGAAGCCTTCACTGTAACATTCCTCAGCTACTGGCTTTGCAATTTTTTTGAAATCTGTATGTGGGTGTGTTTCATATGAGCACAGGAACACTAAGAGGCCGGAAAAGGCCATCAGATCCACCCACATTCCAGAACAAGGTTCCTCCCACCTCCAGTGACCACCAACACGACGTCATTACTAAAGGCCAGTGTGACACATTCCTACTGTCACCATTTTTGAGCATTTTTGAGTGTGCACATGCTTCATAAGCCCCCATAAAGTCTGAGCCATCATGGCGCTCTCTCTCTCTCCCTCTCTTCTCTCTCCCCCTGGGGTTACAGGTGGTTGTGAGCTGCCATACAAGGGCGTTGGGGACTAAACTGAGGTTCTTTGTGAGAACTGCTGAGCCATTTCTCCAGCCCATTCAATTCTGTTTCTTAATCAGCCAATGCTGATCTCAATACCAGTGACTAGGGGAAGCACGGAAAGACCCAAGATGGATGGGGAGCTGGGCTCCCAGGTCTTCAAATGCTGGCATCTGACAACACCCAGAACAGCAGGTAGGAAATGAGTGTCTATAGAGATTTAACCAGGAGCCAGTAGAGGGACTGGCCAGGCATCAGGGGCAAGAGGTGTGTGTTTCAGACTCCAAGTAGCCTACTTCAGGCCCTGAAAGGAGGCCCCGCAGGTCCCATTTAGTAAATAGCCCCAGGGATTTCCTGCTCACACAAGTGACTCTTCAGACTACTGAGCCAGCTGCCAACCCATCTCTCTAAATTCCCCGACTGACTGCAGGGGCCTCCCTGGAGGGACCCAGGCAACCGCTCAGCTGAGATCTCTGCCAGTGACTTTTCACTTTCTCGGCACTCAGTAAATGGTGGAAGGCAAAGGCTGACTAAGCCACTTAAAACACTCAAAACAGACGAGTATATACACGCTTTAGCGGGAAGAGCCGCTGGGTGCACCAGGGTGCTTGGTCCATATTAGTTGGATTTTCTCAATAGGATTTTTTTACAAGCATGGCATGGTGGAGCAAGCCTAGTCCAGCACTGGAGACTAGTCCCCGGATCAGGAGATCAAGGTCATCCTCAGCTACAGGGCAAGTCTGAAGCCAGCCTGGGCTACGTAAAACCCCCTCTCCAAACATAAAACAAACAAAAACTGTAATGATCTGTTCTTTTTCTTTAAGAGACAAGCCACACCCACTTCCAGCCTGAGTCCTTATCCGACTCTCCCCCCGAAGAGGCAGCTCCTGCCTTGCACCATTCTTCCTACTTCTCCCCTTACCCCCCCCAGTCTCTCTCTCTCTGTGTTTTTCTCTGCTCTTCCCCCTTCTCTCCTTGCTCCCTCTCATCTTCCCTTCCATAACCCACTAAATAAATATCCAACCTCACTCTGCATGGCATGCCTATTCATGTCTCTGTCTCTCACCTGTGTCTCCCTGCCCAGGCCTGCCTCCCTCGCCCCCCCACCCCCCTACTCGGGGACCTAAGGCGTGGTCTCATGGCCTGCTGCACCCCTGGGGGGAGAACCTGCAGCATTTTTACTTAATCCATTACAAAAACAACACGGTGTTTCATATTAACTTGTGACGAGCACTGTTCCACGCTCTTAAATAGTGTCATCTGAGTCTGCAAAAGACCACGTGAGGTAAACACTATTTACGCCTTTTTTAAAGACGGGAGAAACTGAAACTCGGACTATATTTTGTCACTAGATGTGATAAAGTAGAGTCTAAACTCTGATTCTGAATGTGTCCTTTCTCTTTATTCCTCTTCTAGAGATCTAAAAAACAGACAACAAAAGACTTTTCCTATGTATGTCATGTCTCCTAACGCTTATCAGCAGGGGTGGGGCATACATTTCTTCAACATCTCAGGCCACTGTCAATAACATACCACAGATTTCAAAACCAACTAAGGGATCACCAGGACAGCAAGTGCCCAAGGTGTTTGGCAGGAGCTGGAGGCAGCAGAAGCTAGCTGAAACTACTAACCTATACAAGCATCCAGTGGGTGACCTTCGGACATCAGCCAGCTAAAGCTCCACCCTTTGAACATATTTCCTGAACATAGCCCAAGTAAAGCTTTGAAGGCCCACCTACAGACTACTTCACTTTCCTCCTCAATTACTTGTCTCCATGGCTCCAGCCCTGCTTATCTCATAAATGCTCCTCACTTGTCTGAGGCCCAGGGCACTCGCCTCTTAACGTCTTGAAGTCACCTCATCAATGAACTCCTTTTCGTAGAATGTTTGCAATCATTTCAGCGTCTGGCAGATTGGCATGCCAAGCAGTGGGCAAAACAAACCTCATTTGGTAACCAGAGGAGGTGGATGATTGACATGGTTGCCCAGCAAACTCATAAAAAAAAAAAAAGCATGAAGCCTGGCATTGCTGCCAGCAGCGCACTGAGGCGGGACTGCCGGAGCTATATAGCAAGACCCTATCTCAAAAATGTCAGAAAAGTAACTTGCGTAGGGGACCATAGGACCCTGGTGTCGGAGGTGGTTTTCACTCAGGTTGCCCAGCGAGTGAATTAATAAAAGAGCTAGAGAGAATAGCATGTGTGGGAAGCAGCAGGCTGACTGGAGTCAGAGCTGAGGACCACAGACGGGAACTTCTAAGTGGTGGAGTTTGACTGGTTCTTCCCCCTGTGCCACAGCAGTCACCTAAAGGATCCTACACAGCGTTTGCCCTCAGCTATTTGCATTCCCCCTCTGACTAAGGGAGCCTAGGGTAGTGGCTTTACTACATCTACAAAGACCTCAAAGGAAAGCAAATCGTGTCTATAATTGCCAAAGGGCAAAGGTTTTTCTCCTCTCTGCAGGTCTCCACACCCCCAGCATGCACACCCCAGGCAGCGCTTGGAACAAGACATTCTATAACTCAGAGTGCTTTTTTTCCCAGGGCTTCCCAGGGGTGAGGAGGAGGAGGAGGAGGAGGAGGAGGAGGAGGAGGAGGAGGAGGTATGAGTAAACACACAGTAGGAGATAAAGCCTGGGGTAGGTGAGATTTTTCCTCCATAGTCATGGGAATGAATTGCCCTCTAGGGAACTTTGGGGAGGCAAGAGATTCCAGTCTGTGCAGGGGTGGGGGGAAAGACCTAAGCTCAAGACAAGGATGCCTCTCCCCTCTCCCATCCTCCCTTTCCCCCAACAAGCTACTCACATCTGCCTCATTCCAGAGTCCTGGGATGCAGAAGGACTCCAGCAGGTCACTACCGCACAGCAGCAAGATGCGCAGCTCTGAGGAGAAGAGCAGAGTTTGCATCAGAGGGGGCCAAGGAGACGGCTCTCAGCTTTCTTCCCTCTAGAGCACAACCCTCTGCACCATGGGAACTGTGTGGCCCAGGTCCCCCAGACCATCCCACACCAGGGGGCCTGTAGTTCAACACTCCCATCCCCTCCTCCATCTCCAGTGGGATTTCCACATGAAGGGAGTGGTGCACGGAGGGTGGCCAACTGTCCTGCCTGCACAAGACATAGACACAGCCCTTGAGGGCCAAAACAGGATGGCTGGGCTTTCTAGCAGGCTTTCCTTAAGGGCTCAGCGCCCCCATCCCCGACTCTGTAGCCTAGGCTGGTCTGTAGCTGACGCTTGAACACTGGAACCTGCTCTCCTAGCGCTGGATAATAGGAACTTAGTTCTGTCTCCTCTCCCTTTCGAGTGTGTCTCCCCTGACAAGTGCCAACATAGTAGGGATAGGATGGACAGAGACCACTGACTGCCAGTGAAGTATCTGAGTTGATCAACTGTGCCCTCTCTTTTGAGGCCATAACCCTCCTCAAAGGGCTTGAGAAGCAAGGCTGGAACCACCTCCCCTTTACCCGTGGTGCTTCCTGCCTGACAGTTGTTTTTCTTCCCTCGTTAAGCCTAATTTGAATTTTCCCAGCGAGGCCCATTGTCATTTAAAACCACCATGAAACAGTTGCTTATTACAAAGAGGTGGGGGGGTCCTAGAGATTTCTGATGTTCCACGACAGGGTTGCACGTGCATCCCAGGCTGCCCAGGTTTCAGCGTCACCCAATGTGTCTGAGACCACAAAGCATCTGTGCAGAGCTGGCCAGCAGTCCTCCAGACACAGCCGCTACCATGGCCCCTGAGCCTAACTTACCTCCGAGGACCAGGCAAGGACTTTCAGAGGCTGAGCTTGCCCCTGTTCAACTGAGAGTCTCCAGATGGGAACGAAACAGGCAGAGAAAATAGCCAACATCTCACTGTCCAGATGTCTGGACAATGTCTGCACTGGACCGGGGTCTGCACGCCAGCCTCCAGCGGGGGAAGCCCATTGAGTGTTGAGAGCTTATATGAACCAATGATCTTTTCAGGTACAGAACCTTAATTTGTCTTTCTGTCCCAGGGCCTGGCAGTGTCTGGCACAGAGGGAACTCAAGACATTGTGAGTAGTTAAGCCAGCAGATGATATGGTTAGAGTCTCACAGGCTGCCTGAGAGCCCCTGGGCAGTTTAGGGGCATTTTTTTACAGGGTCTGGTTTTCATGCCTGGGGAGCAGAGACAGGTGTCACTGGCATCTGGAGGATGGGATGCTGCTAAGCCAGCATCCCACAGTGCACGGGGCAGCCACCCACACAGAATTATCTGCCCCTAGAAACTGGCAGTACCAAGGCTGAAAACCTTGAACGGGGGCTCCCATTCTCGTGCTAGGACTCACTCTCTTGCCCAGACTTTTCAAACGAGCCAAAGCACAGAAAGGTGGTGTAACTTCTGACTTTTTCCCCCAGGACCAGAGCAGACCTGTTATTGGTAACAGACAGGTGACCTTGGCGGAATCTGTGGTCCCACATGAAGCCACTGGAGGGCAGCAGTAATTTCCACATCTCTGGTCTACTTCAACAGGGGTAGCCCCAGGGGAAGCAACCAACTGTGGAAAACTGACGCCAAGCAAGTTAGGAGAAGGTGCCTTTTTCTTATGGAGTATGCAGGGGGTTTCGTTAAGGGAGCCTTGTAAATACCAGAACCTCACAGAGCATATGGGTCAGGATGCAGGTTAGTTCCTCTGCCTCCACTGGGCTCCGCCTCCCTCCCTGGTCATCTTGACCCAGGGCCAGCAGCCAGAATCAGTCCTCTCCCTCTAACTCTCCCCGTTCAGGAATTCCAGCTATGTGTAGCCCAGTGGCCCACCCCAGCTCCCACGGTCCACCACGGCAGCTGCCACCTGTATTGCTGCAAACCCGGAGTCTATCTGTCAGCAGGGGCCCGCACCGCTCTCCCTTTCAGAAGCCAAGAATTCTTCATTCCCTGGCCCATTATCCCTTCCTGTCAGATGCTGGGAATCCTTTTCCCTTCTGGAGAGCAAAGGGGGTAAGAGGTGGCTAGGCAGATTTAGAGCCAGAGGGGATATCCCCCAGTAGGGACAGCATAGCCTAAAATGTGCTCCGGGTGCCGGGGAGGCAAACAGGTTCCCAGAAGTCCCATACAAAGTCTGTGAAACATGAAAAAGTCAAACACACACTGGAACACAATAGAAAATCCTAGGAGTGTTCTGAGCTCTGTTGGGCAGAGACTGCCAGTGGGGTGACAGTCCCTGAGAGGAAGGACTGCAGGAGGTGGTGCAGGGCTTTGAGCCCCATCCTGGCAGCTTTGCCCCATCTCTGCCTGTGGATGCTTTGGGCTTATAGAACCTGCTTTCTTTGTCCAGAAAGCCAGGTGTCCTCTTTCCTGCAGACTTCAGCGCGAATAAGCTGACGGATGAAGGCTGTTAAAGTCTACAACGGTAACTAGGAAGAGAAGCACCTAAATACTCCTTTTCATTGATTCGGTTTAATGCAATTGGTTTAACTGTGTGCTCCCAGTATTTCGTTTTCACTAATGGCTCTGCTTAGCATAGTTGTCAAATAGTGGATAAGTCATCACTTCCATACTGCTCACAGCAGAACCACAGCAGAAGCCCAGCCCCCCAGGGCACACTCAGAGGAGCCTGAGGAAGGCATCTAGGCAGCTAGAAGTTAAATCTGTGTGGGTTCGAGACCAAGTTGCCTCTCCTTCTAGAGAGCCGCTGACCCTCCTCGCCACCTGTGCCAGCTCTGTTCTGGGCTGCCTCTGTCATCTTTTTCCAGCTGCAGCATTTGGGGGTCCCCCTCCATCTTTGGAACCTTGCAAAGTCTTCAATTATTTACACAGCTGTCAGGCCTTCCCAGCAGACAGCTGTTTGTACCAGCTTCTGCCTACTCTGGATTGAGCACGGGGTCTCACCCAGACCTTAGCCCAGTCAGCCCTTGCCTCTTTCTCTACTTTAAAGCCCTGGAAACTGGACACTATCTTGTTTGTGTGCAGTATCGGTGGGTAAACACAATGGTCTCTCTCATTAGCACTGATGCTCAGCTTTCCTTCTTTTAGATGAGGGAGGGGAAGCTGTGAGGGGAAGATTGCCAGTTGATCCACTCCGACTGGAAGTGAGTCTAGTTAGGGGATGTTAAATGGCATCTAAGATTATCTGTAGAAGGACGATTCTGATAGTAGACCCAGTTGCAAAGAGACTCCAGAGGTTTCAAAGCTCCACCCTCCCTGGCATTGCAGCTTCCATGTGATTGGAGGCCAGAGGTTCCAAATGTTCCCCTTCCATAGCTCTACTCACCAATCTCTTCATACCGCATCACTGTGCCCAGGTTGGCATTCTCATCTGGGGAGAGAGAGTGAGGCGAGGCATTAGGGAGCTGAGAACCTCAGTGAGAATGCTGGGGGGCTGCGGGTGGATGGGGAAAGATCAGATGGCAGGGAGCATCCCCTCCCTTCCCAGGGCAGAGCTTCATATTTCTGGGATTTTCATAGTTAGATCATCTCACCGGGGAACCCAATGACAGACACTCATGCTGAGGGCCTTCTATTCGTGTGTCCACCAGAACCGTGCCCTTAGAACCTGGGACACGGGATTTGGGGGTCACAGGAGATGGCCTCCTCTCCTTCCATTGCTTCCTGGTTTAAAGATTGGGATGTTGAGCCATATCCTCGGTGAGATGTAGCAGAAGCTGGCAGGAAGAACGAAAGGACAGAGCCTCCGGCACGAGTTCCTAGTGTGCACTGTCTGCACGGAGGCGTACAAGGTACACGTAAGTGCACACAAATCTACAGCCCAGCTGCCTCATCCCTGCCTCTGCCTCCTCAACTGTCTCTTAGTTCCCTATCAATAAGCCCCAAACTGGAAACCTCCATTAGGGCAAAAGGAAGCGCCAAAGGAAAAAAGAAAAAAGTTCTTTTGGCTCTTTTGGGGGCTCTTTTTTAGAGTAAATTAGAGGTGAGCAGGGGAGGAACACCCAAAGGACAGAGGGGCCTAGGGACAGAGGCTGTGCCCACCGGAGGACAGCCACTGACTGAGCCAGGAGCCAGGCCCCATGGCAAACATCCGGTGTGTAGACATATCTTATGGAGTGCAAGGTGAGGAATGAACACAGACTGGAGGAGGGAGAGGACCACGAAAGGCCTTCCAGGACCACGGCATCCTCTCGCTCCCATCGCCTCTTGACACTGTTGGCTTGGACATCCCTGCTTGTCTCTGGTCTCTTCAACTGCTGCTCTACAAATGATCACCCCACTAGGGTGTCCTAGTCCATTCAAGCTTTACAACCAATACCATGGGCGGGGTGACTTTCAAACAACAGGAATTTATTCCTGAATGTTCTGGAAGTTGGAAGCCTAAGGTGAAGGAGCCAACGTGGGTAGCATCATCTCCATGTATCTTCAGATGGTAGACGGGGTGGGCTAGTTCTGCAAGGTCTTTTCTTTATAAGACATTTTAAAATTACATTTCATTTATTTTGTTTGTGTGCAATTCACCTTCATGATTTAATTATCTCTCAAAGACCGTGGCTCCTAATACCATCCCCTGGGGGATCCCATGGCTCCTAATACTATCCCCTGGGGGATTAACAATTCAGTCTATGAATTTAAGGAGGTGGGGTTCTTTGCTGATGAATTAAGAGAGGTGAGGAGGAAGATGACAGATGGGCCCTTACCTACAAAGGTGAAGCGCTCCACGGGAGGGCGGACGCAGCAGATCCGGGTGAGGCTCTCTCCCACCTTTCCCAAGATCTTGGCTATGGGAGAGAAGAAGACAGACGGAGACAGAGGGAAAGGACCACTCACAGCTGACACTAAGGTCAGCACAGCACCGGGGCCACTTTAAACCACAGGGGTATACGGGGAGGGGTGTACTGGAAAGTGGAAGGCAGGCAGGAGGGTAGAGAGAAAGGTCAGAACAATGACAGTCACAAGTTCTTTCTTCTCCTCCAGAGTTCAAGGCACAAGCACTGTGAGCCACAGGCTACTTTCTTGTCATGGTTATTGTTGAAAAGTGGAAAACAGAGGCAGAGAGAAGGGAGATACATAAAGAGAAGAGGAAACAGCACTCATGATCCTACATCTAGCTAGATCCACACCTTAGCATCTTGGTGTGTTATTTAGTTTCTTCCATTTTAATGAGTATAAATGCACGTATGTTGGGTCAGACCGCAAATTTATATTTGTGTATTTATACTGCTGCTCTCCCAATTCTTTTATTTATTTATCTATTTATTTCTCCCCAAGACAGGGTTTCTCTGTGCAGCCCTGGCTGTCCTGGAACTTGCTCTGTAGACCAGGTTGGTCTTAAACTCACAGAGGTCTTCCTGCCTCTGTCTCCCAAGTGCTGGGCTTAAAGGCATGCATCACCTCTTCCAATTCTTAATGTTCTGGTTCGAATCTTAAATGTCCCCCAAAGGCATGTGTTGAAGTTTGGTCCCCAGCAGGTGATACTGTGGGAAGCAGTAGAAGTCTTAGAAGGAGAAGTCTAACGAAAGAGATTAGGCCACTCGGTGTGGGTCCTGGTTTCTCCCTTCCTCCCCTTTTGCTTCTGACCACTACAAAGTGAGCCACCGCCCCTGCCACTCACTCCCATGATGCTCTATGCTTCCATAGCATCAAAGCAACATGGTCAAGTGCCCCTGGACAAAACTTCTGGAACTTGAGCCAAATACATCTTTGTTCCTTTAAGGTTGATTTTCTTAGGCATTTGTCACAACAATGGGAAGCCGCTGTCACCAACACACTTCTCATGAGCTTCTCGGTGGGTTTGTCCCAAGCCTGTCATTAGCCACTCGTCCCACTAGACAGTAGCACCCAAATCCAAGGGACCTCAGCCTGTGGCAGACTCCACATCGGAGTCACCTCTGCTAGGCTAAGGAGAGCATGCCTGTCCATGCAGGTGGTCTTCACAGTAATCGGGCACCCTAGCTGGCTGAGAGGTGGCTTCTGTGGCTCTTACGTGTTCTATCTCTCCAGGCCCTAGTCCCAAAACTTGCTTAGCATAACTCTATGCAAACTATGGAATCCTAGATTTTCTGTGTAAATTACTATATTTATAAAAAGCCAGTAATATCATAGTATGTGGTTTCTCTTAGAATTTGTATCCAGCCGTCATGTTTTGTTTGAAACAACATTTCATGTAGACCAAACTGCCCTTAAACTCCTGATCCTTCTGTTTTTTCCTCCCAAGTTCTGGGGTACAGGCATCCGTCAGCACACCCAGTGTTATCTGTTGGAACTGACCTGGGAGAATCTCTTAGCATGTCCCTTGGACCTGACAGCTCTTCAACCTTTGAGCTGTTCAACTTAGACTAATCACAAACCGTTTCTAGGTCTTCGTTGTTTAATTTGTCAAAGGAAAGACATCATCTACATCACCGAATCGCTGCGTTTAATGAGAACTGAAGTAAAGACTGAGCACAAAGCACCCTAAGGCGCACAGTACTAGCACGGAGGAGAAAGTGTTGGCGGCTTTGCTCTTTGTTGTTGAGGAGGTGGCTAAGAGTATGGGCATTATGTATGCAATATGACTCATGGCCCTGCTACTTCCTCACTGTGACCCCGCGTGAGACCCTCAACCTCTCTGGAGGAGGCAAAGAAAAATGCTCCCTTTCATATATTAAATCCCTATTAAGGCAATTATATTTATATTTAAATACATAAGAAGGCATACTGTCCTTTCCTCTCCTCCCTCCTCCCTCTCTTCTGCTCCCCACCTCCTCCCTCCTCCCTTCTCTTTCCTATGCTTCACCCTCCTCCTGCTCTTCCTCTTTCTAGATTGACTAACTCAAATGCTGGGTGGGCCCTCTAGGTGACTCTGGGTAAAGGAGATCTTTGCCCAGTGTCTCTTACCTGCAGTGGGCTTGCTGGACACATTGCTGTTCTGGTAAATAGGCTGGGTGTTCTCATGTTGTGGCTGTCCAATCACAGGTGTCATGGAAGGTGTGTTGACGTTGGAGAGGATGCAGCCAGTCACCCTCTGGGAAAAGGGAGAAGCACTGAGTCAGTGTCCTTAAGCAAGTGACGGTGCTGAGAATCATGGCCCAGTTGTCGCCATGGACATCTGTCTGCCAAGCAGAGTAAGGCAGTCTCAAGCCTAGGGATGGTCTACAGTGGCAGGAAACAAGGTAACTCAGCAAGAAAACTTGGGAAGTGACATCCAACAGCCCTGGACCCCAGTTCAGGCTCTCCACTTTCTAGTCATGTGACCTTGAGTAGTCCTGAGTAGTCCCTGAACCTTATGATAATACAATACAATTTGCTTTTTTTTTTTTTTTTTTTTTTGAGATGAGTTTCTCTGTGTAGTTCTTGCTGTCCTGGAATATGCTCTGTAGCAAGACTGGCCTCAAATTCAGAGATCTAGCTGCCTCTCCTCCTGAGTGCTGGGATTAAAGGGCACTACCACCCATGACCTTAAATTTTCTATCCACCTGTCTCTACTTCATGAGTACTGAGATTACAGGCTTTAGCCATCCTTTATAGTAAACACACACACACACACACACACACGTGTGTGTGTGTGTGTGTGTGTGTGTGTGTGTGTGTATCTATATCTAGGTGGAAATCAGCCAGTCTCCTCTCTTAGGAGTTAGCCCAGATGGGCAGATCGGTCTCCTGGCCAAGGGACTGTCCCTCAGGAATACAGGCCCACCTTAAACCATTTTGACTGTGGCAGAATTATCTGAGCAAGTCCATGCAAAGTGCCTCTGAAGTGCCTGATGCTGGCAGGGCTTTGTGTAACCTTCTGCATGCCATGACTATCTGTGAGCCCTGCCTACTTCTTGGGGCTCAAAAGAGATCATCTCATGAGGGAGCCCAGCAGGCGTGGGAAAGGTCAGCCCAACCATAGGCATCATCGGCCGGCCGCCTCAGCCTCTACAGGCCAGACATTCAATACCACAACCAGCCAGAGACCAGTGCCAGGCAGGGCAGGATGTATCTGTGTCACAGCAAGTGTGAGGTGAGTTCCAAGTCCCCTGGGGCCTGCTCATCACACTTCAGAGCCACCTGGTGTCTTGAGATACATTATTCATTAACATGTGTTATCAGGACCCACTGCTCCCTCCAGTGATGTGGAAAATAAAATGTAGCCTCAGGGGAGCCATAAGCAACTCTTTACCCAGGGTCAGAGAATGGTAGAGAACCATGGGACTAAGCGCATATTCAAGGTTCCTTCCCAAAAGCCTGCATCTCTGGGGTGATAGTGCCCATTGCATTTCCAGGATTGAAGTCCTGCAGTGAGAGGACCTTCAAGCCCCAGGGATGGCTAGGAAGCCCCTCTGGGTACAGTTTCTATAAGCCATGTGGCAGGCGGAATGCCTGGAGTCCATCTGAGCTCTAGAAGAGCAGGCATTTGTTTTGTGGCTTAATCCATCCCTTCCATCTGCTCCTATCATAAGAAGGTCGCAGCAACATCCAGTTTTCTCCACGAGGCAGCGTCCCAGCCTGCTCTGTGGGCTCCTCTGACCCGCTTGGCTGACAGAATAGAAGGGTGATCTGCCCTTTTATTATTTTATCACCAAAAAAGACAGTGCCACATTGTCTCTTAATGGCTGCTCTGTGGCTGAGGGATTCTCTTACTGCACCCTTAGCTCCATTTGACTTGCTCTGACTGGGGAGAAAATGATTGCTCACATACTCTACCCGTGCCTGCGTCCTGCTCAGTCTCCCATAACTCTCCTGTCCTCAGCAATTTTTACAAACCCAACTTTGAATGGCCAGCCCCCTGGCAAGTTTATCCTCCAAGCCGGGCACACCAGTCTCATGCCAGGACGGGGCAAGGAGGGGTTATGAGGAAGCAGCTCCGCTCTGGCTGTGAGGCTGGGGACCATCTGTAACCTCTACCATCAGCCAGCCACTGTCAGGCACTATTACAGTTGGAGCTTGGGGGTGCACTTCTCGGACTTCAGGCTCAAGCTCTGGGCATGAGTATAAGAGGAAGTGCCCAGGAAGACTGGGCATTTGGACAACAAAACAATTCTATGTTCTATGGTCATTATAACCAGGACAGCATTCAGAGATGCTTCAAGCGTTTTCGACTCTCCCCTTAGCAGAGAGCTGAAGGCCTCTGTGAGACTAAACCGAACACAGGTGGCAGGTGACAGTCCCCTCCCCAGCTCACCTGGCAAGTGTGGGAGATAAACCGATGTGAGCCACTGATAATTTTGCTTGTTGTCTCACCACTTCTTCACCTATCCTGACTGACCCATCCTTACACAGGAAACGAGGTGTCTCTTCGTAAAAGGTTGTGTCACTCATTCTATGCATGCATGTGTGTCTGTGTGTGGGGTAGGTACATAGGAGCGCAGGGGCAAGAGGCATCGGATCCCATGACCTCCGGTCCTCTGCAAGAGCAGTTAGCGCTTTTAACTGCTGAGCCATCTAGTCGGCTCCAAGACATCTTCTGTCACTCTGCTGTAGCGACTGCTACGGAAGAGTGAGAGGAACCCAGTCTCACTGTCCCTTCAAGAGGACCACAAAGGAATCAGGATAGCTCTGAAGGGTTTTGAAAGACTGGTCATGTTTAATTCTACCGAGGAACTTAATAGATTGGACAGCAGCAGTCTGGTGGCCCTCCATGCTCCTCTTGCTCCTGGTTTCCTTTGGAATCTAAATCCCATGTGGTAAAATGAAGCCCAGCTGTGTGGTTGGTACAATGTGTACCGCTTGGTCAGGGACTGTGTCATTAAGAGAGGATGACGACAGTCAGTCACGGAGACAGGCGGGATGCAGGTCTCCTGGGATCAGAACAATGCTGATTAGTTTACTTAGGGCTGGGGACTCTCCACACAGAGTGTAGGGTAATGTCCACCCAGGACAGCTTGCTGTATCTGCCAGCCTGTCAGTCAGGGGTTTGGCCACAGATCTTGCTGTTTCTCATCCTGCCACCGCCTACTCCGTGAGCTGGTATGGATCTGCGGAGGGCGCTCTGCTCACACTGTGGCTGGTGCTGCTGGGTAAGCAGCCGGCCCTAGGTCACTGCAGGTTTTAGATTGCAGTGGGGAACATAGGGGCTCTCCTTCATCCTGGATCAATAAATGTCACTGTGTGTCCTCAGGTTCACAGGTTCCTCGCTGCAAAGCGGGGATCAGCCACCATCACTCAAAAGGTTCTTGTGTGGAAGGATGTGTGGGAATGAGGGAGCTTTGATCCTTGGGTGTGATATCCTGTCCTGGAGTGGGAACTTTTGGGTCCCTAATAGATGGGGAGGGAACTTGGCAACTTGTACCAACTCTAAGAGGACATTGCTTAGTTTTGTTTGAATTATTCTCTTTATATACATTACATACCAACTGTAGTCTGCCTACCTCCGCCTCCCAACCCCCCATCTTCCCCCATTTCAGATCCACTCCTTCTCCATTTCCCCTCAAAAATAGAAAAACAAAAATAAAGAAAAAAGAAAAGAGCAGGCCTCTCAGGAATATCAGCTGAACACGGCATAACAAATTACAATAAGGCAAGGCACAAACTTTATCAAGGCTGAATGAGGCGACCCAGCAGGAGGAAGAGGGCCCCAAGTTCAGGGAAAAGCATCAGAGACACTTCCCACTCCGAATGATAGGAGTCCCACAGGAAACTATACAACCATACCATATAATAACATATACACAGAGGACCTAGCCTAGACCCATGTGGAGTTTGTGTTTGTTGCGTCTGTCTCTGTGAGCCCCTGTGAACCCCACTTAGCTGATGCTGTGGGTTCTCATGGTGAGAACATCATTTTTTAGCCCCAACCAACAACATTGAATTTCTGATCCTCCTACCCCTACCTCCCAATAGAGGGGTGCACATCCCCGTTTTTATGTGGTACTGGGGATCAAACTCCAAGTGGTCACACATACTAAGCAAACACCCTAGTAACTGAGCTACATCCTCAGCCCGAAGGGCATCTCTGTCCCTTGCCTAGCCGGCCCCCTTCCCCACTGAAGCCTTACAGCTCTAGTCTCTTCTTGGTCCCTCTTTGAACTTGATTCTCCAGCTGATGACGGCCGCCCATGCCAAGTCCAGCCCCAACAACATCCCATCAACCCCCAATGGGAGGGCAAGTCAGAGAGTGGAAGGTAAGGGAGCAAGGCCGGTGCTGCTCCAGGGGCCTAATCCACTATCTTCCCCGGAGCCATACACAGACTGGTCCACCTAACAACTGGCATGGAAACAGGAAGCAGATGCCAGGGCAGCAGGGCACCAGGCCAGCAGCCTCTTTCTCCCACCCCTCTCCTGCACCCGGCTCATCCACCCACCCTTGGCCACGGCCTGGCTCACCTTCATGAGGTCTCGATGGTGTTCCAATACACTGCAGGTCGTCTGCCAGGTGTCTTGGTAGCACTCCCATGGGTCCACTCTGCCGTCACAAGAGAGGCTGTCCTTAGTCTCCATTGGACGCCCTGTCTCCCCACTGCTTCCTCCCACGGCTCAGGGAGCTTAGCAGACCTGGCCATGTTGTGTGCTTAGACCTCAAGTTAGGTTAAACCAGCTGTGACATAGGCTCCTGAGCCTCAGTTTCCCTCTCTGTAAAATGAGAAGTATCTAGCACAGGCAGGTGAGGAAGATGCTGGCGTGAATCTCCAAGTTTAACCGCAGCTCAGCACTCTTTCTAGTGTGAGGACTTGGGAGATTTTATACACAAAGTGCCTATCAGGATGGCTCCTGCTTATTTTCACACGGAAAGGGGAAATCTTCAGGCTCTTGCGGGACTGTGATAGGATTAAATGAACCAGGGGCTCAGCAAGCAGGGATGGAGCAAGCCCTGGAAAAGCAGCCCCATGGGCCTCAGCTGGGAGGAGCAGTGCCCGGAGGCTGGAAGTAAGGCTTGACAGCTAGACTAGAGGGGACAAACCCACAGGCCAGCTGACTCCTCCTGCACAGGAGGCTAGGAAGTGAGCAGGGATCCTGCCCCAGACTGATGCCTCACTTGGCCTCAATTGCCAACTTAATGAGCTGCTAAATTGAGCTATTTCTGAAATGTTCTCTTCGTGGTTGAGCATCCCTGCCCATTGCCTGCCAGGCGCCCTGGGTTTCCTGAGTCGAGGTCTTACTAAGTGAAAATCAAGGGGTCTGTCTGCCCTCGCCTGGTTCCTCCTGTCCTGCCCCTGTGCACACGAGTGTGGGAGGTGAGCAAACCCGTGGACTCACCAAATGGGTACCCAGAGTCAAGGCTAGCTACCCAGCTTCCCTCCCCAGAGCTTATCCTCAGGCTCCTCAGATGCCTCAGTTCTGACCTTCCACGTGGGGTAGGTGGTAGTCACTCAGTAACTATCCATCAGATCAATGAAGGGATTATTCCAGAATGTTGTTTTTTTTTTTTAAAACAAAAAAACAAAAAACTATTGCAGCAGGAACAGCTTCTGCCCAGTATGTTCTCTGGATTCATTTCCCACAGGCAATTAGAAAGCCGTCTAAGCAGCAAGAGATGTGGTTTCAGACACTGACCTGATCATAGATGGACTGTCTTCCAGCACTTTGACTTCTCCAGGCCTGTTTCTCATCTGAGAGAGCAGCCACTCTCTACCCAACTGTGTATTTTATTTTTTAATTTTTTTAAAACATTTATTTATTTATTTATTTATACAATATCCTGCCTGTAGGTCAGAAGAGGGCACCAGATCTCATTATAGGTGATTGTGAGCCACCATGTGGTTGCTGGGAATTGAACTCAGGACCTCTGGAAGAGCAGTCAGTGCCCTTAAACATTTGAGCCATCTCTCCAGCTCCTGTATTTTATTTTTTTTTAAAGAGTTATTTTTATTTATGCATGAGATGCCTGCCAGAGAGGGTGTCAGCTCCCCTGGAGCCAGTGTTACAGGCAGTAGTAAGCTGCCCGAGGTAGGTATGAGAACTGAACTCCTGTCCTCTGGAAGAACAACCAGAGATCTTAACTGCTGAGCCATCTTTCCAGTCCTCAAGCCAAAAGGAAGTCCCTTGAGGGCGAGGCTTCTCATACAAACACCCAGCAGGGCCACATGGACCGGCTGCTTAATTATGACCGTGCTGTCCTTGACTGCCCTCAGTTCTGCTGGCCCATCCCTCCTGGGTTAACTGCACCCCTCACTCTGAGGTCGAGGCCCCTCCCTTCATGGAAACTTTTAGGTGCTGCTTATTTTTCCACTGTCGGAAATTAAAGCACAAATGATGTGCCATTATTTTTTTTAAACACCATCTTCTCATGCAAATTATAACGGTAGGGACGTGGGGGACATAATTAGCATAATTAGTGGAAGCTTGCTTTAATTACACTGCTGGCTCAGAGCATGGGAAGCGCTGCCATCTTAGCGTCTTAGCGGCTCAGCTAGTCTAGTGCTGTGCGTGGGGTGGTAGGACGGCAGTGATCAGGGTCTGAGTTGCACTAGAGAGCACTGCTCAGCGGCCCCATACCTTCGTCTGGGAGTCAGTGTGGACCCCTGAGGGACCCTGAGGTCAGAAGTGGGCAGTAATCAAGGGCCACAGACTTTCTCTGAAAGAAAGGGAGTTGTGACTGAGAGTTAGTTCATGGAAGTCGGTGGGAATGTGAATGAGAGGCATCTGGGATTTGGGACCAGGCTCCTCCCGGCCGTGATGTTTTTAGAAACTCTAAGAATCACACCAGGACGCACAGGTACAAAACTCTGTAAGATCGCTCTTTAATTTTGATTGTTTGGTTCAAAAATAAACAAAGTTATCAATTGGGCCACCACTGGAGAGCTACCTAATTATGACCGGTACGGGGCTAATCTCTCTCCGACTTCCTCACCCTTGTGGGTTCCAAATTACTGACTCTTCCTCTTTCCCATTTCATCCCAGGAAGCCCCAGGACCATCTGCCTCTGGCATCACTCGCAGCCCTACCTGATCCAGTCGGAATTCTGGACAGCCAGTTGACACATGACGAGACGATGCCGGCTCGACACAAGGCCCTGGGAAGCAACCACACCATGAGTAGGAGGTGGCCCCAGTCTCCCACAGCGCCCAGAGACACCAGCATAAGCCACCCCATTACAAAGTATAGCCATGTTTGATGGTAAGAGGAAACGAGAGTTGGGACCCCTAGACTTGTCCCTTTGCCACACACACAGACTTTGAGTGACAGTGGGAAAACGAAAGGAATGAAGGATGCGCGGTGTAACCCACTGCATCAGAATCCAAACCAGCAATGCCCAGTCTACTAAGGTTTGACCTGGTTTAAGCTCGGTTAGCCTGGTTTGGTGATTAGAGTATCTGTGGGACAGACAGAAATGACTGGGCAAGTTCCCACATTTTGGGGGACCTGTGGCAAATTATAAGAGGCACTGGGATGCTTTCTCCAAAATAAAAATCGCAGGAACTGTTTGTCCAGTGTAGCTCAACCCATAACCCGCTGCCAATCTGGAGCCCAGCACAGTTCCATGGAGCAGGCGTACTTAACCCTCTGCCTGTCTGGAGCCCAGCACAGTCACAGGGAGCAGACACACTCACTCCTCTCTGTGAGCATCTGGCTGTCATGGGCACCTGGCCCTTCAGCTGTGGCCAGACACCCAGGTCTGACTGTGGTCCAGGGATGAAAGCCAGATGCTTATTGTTAGGCATTCTGCATTTCCAGGAATCCCAGAGACCACGCTGGGTCAATTTCATCCAGGGGAGCAGTCATGAGGAGGGAAGGTGAAGGGAGAAGGGAAAATCCACCTGTTTTCCATAGGAGTCGTGGACAGGAGAGACAATTCCACCAATCACAATGAATCTTCCAGTCTTGTGCAGATAATCCCTGGCTCTTTCTAATTAAGAGAAGAAATTACAAGATATTACAAGAAAGGAGAGGTGGATTAAAGGTGATAATTGAAATCAATCTGTTTGGCCCTGAACCCACTAAGGTTTGGTGCTTGCTATTTAAATAGAAGGTGTCAACTTTCAAAGCAAATGGTGGTGACTCAAAGGTCCAGGAGGCAGACCTTAGCCCCAGAAATGAAAGGAGTTAGAATTTAATCATAATTCAAGGCTTAATTCAGTGGTAAGGAGTCTGAGCTGGAGGAGTCATGGGAGTCTGGGGGGTTTAAACAAGAACCTCGTTAAGGAGCACTAAGAGATGCTGATTGGAATTTACTCCTATTGTCTCTTGCAGAAATTCCAATGAACAGAAAAAGGAAGCCTCCTTAGAATATGAAAGATGGGCCGATTGCCTCACCCAATTACCCAGAAGGAAGAAATAGGAAAACAAACGTAAAGGGCCTTGTGCATAACCATAGAGAGTTAACCTGTACATAACCATAGAGTTAACCTGTACATAACCATAGAGAATTAACCTGTACATAACCATAGAGAGTTAACCGCCAGCCTAGCGAGTTACAGTTGCTTGAGATAAAAAGCCAAACCAAACAAAAGCCTCCTTCCGAGAGTCCCGTTCCTTACCCAAATTGATCACGCAAGCCCAGGCTCACGTTCGTAAGAAAACTAGTGAACCAGAAAAGCTTTAAAGTCTAGTAGTTTATTTCCACCACCGCAGCAGCCTGCCTCAGCTGCCGAGGCAGTGAAGTCACCATCTGCTGCCAGGAGCCTTTCTGCCGTCAGCTGTGCCCTTTAAGTCACAGTCCCCTCCTTCTCTTCTTGCTGCTTTTTCCACTTATCTCTTCCCTGTTCTGTCTGTCCATCCGCTGTTTGTCCTTCTGCCTCTCTCATGTCCCCACTCCCAGAAGACCTTCCTCACACCCCGCCCGGAACCTCATGCACCAACTCTGTTGTGAATGGAGTTTGCACTTAGTGGTGAACCTCAGCAGGGCCCACCGAAAGATATCCATTTCTGTAATGGTCTGTCCTGTCCCTTAAAGAGACAAGCGCTGCCCCCACGCCCCGCCACACACACACACACACACACACACACACACACACACACTGAGGCAGGCAGATCTTCCTTCTGCTTCCAGCCTGAGTGCTCTTTCTTTCTGTTACTCTCCCAATGAGGTAACTGCTGCATGGCTCCTCCACCACCCTCTGCCTCTCTCTGCTCTTCTCCCTTCTCATCTTACTCCCTTTCCCCTTCCCTTCCATAATCCATTAAATAAATATCCAACGTCACTCTGCATGGCGTGCCCATCTGTCTGTTTCTCACCCACTGTGGCTGCCCCTATGCCAGGTTTCTCACCCACCACGTGGCTCCCTGCCTTGGATCCACTGGCCCACCATGGTCGCGGGACCAGCTGCCCTCTGCCTGCCACCTGCCACCACTCAGTGACCTGTGGCATGGTCTCATGGCCTGCTCCCACTGCCGCCACTCAGGGACCTACAGCATGTCTGCTGCTGCACCCCTCGGGGAACAGCGGCATTAAACCATAACAACTTCACTTTTTAAAAATCCTTTCACTAACCCTGTTTTATTTTCTAGGGAGCCCATCGAGCAAATTCTATCCGGTTGCATTATTTTTAAGTTTTTATATTTGTGTGTGTGTGTACATACTCTTGCAGAGGCAGGAATTGATTTCCTCATTTACTTTTTACCTTACTTTTACAAAAGATATACTTTATAATTATGAGTGTGTGTATGTGTGTGTACTCACACATGCACCCTCATGCACGTGCCAGAGAAGTCCAGAAAAGGGTGTCAGATCCCTTGGAGCTACAGTTATAGGAGCTTATGAGCCCCATGCAGATGCTGGGAAGTGAACTTAGGTCTTCTGGAAAAACAGCGATCATTCTTAGTCTCTGAGCCAGCTCTCAAGCCCCCTCTATTTTTTTTTTTTTTTTTGAGACAAGATCTCTCTCTGAACCTGGAGTTTATTGACTGTCCAAACTTTCTGGCCAGTGAACCTTTTTTTTATTTTAATATTCATTTATTTGGTTTTTGGAAACAGGATTTCTCTGCACAACAGCTCTGTCTGTTCTGGAACTTGCTTTGTAGACCAGGCCGGCCTCAAACTCACAGAAATCCACCTGTCCCTACCTCAGTGCTGAGATTAAAGGCGTTCCACCATGCCTGACTTTTTGCCATGCTTTTTTTATATATGAGTGTTTTGCCTACATGTATGTATGCACATCATGTATATGCCTGATGCCCTTAGAGGCCAGAAGAGGGCTTCATATCCCCTGGACCTGGAGTTACAGATGGTTGTTAGCTGCCATGCGGGTCTGGGGAACTGAACCTGTGTCCTTTGTGAGAGAAGCAAGTACTCTGAAGTACTGAGCCACCTCTCCATGCCATCTAAGTAGATGCTGTGGATCAAAGTCAGGCCCCTCCATCTTGAGGAAAACCCTTCACGATTGAGCCAGCCCTGAAGCCCTGAGGTATGAATTTTGGGATGGGGGAAATCTGTGAGTGGAAGGGGGAGGGAACAGCAAGCCTGGGTATAGGTTCTCAGTCAAGCTTGCATGACCTCATGACTCTCTCTGCATTTAAAAATAATGCTCACCACAGCTTTCTTTTATCCCTTCCCTGTAAAATCTTCTTTTTAAAAATTGACATTTTTTTTAACATTTTAGATTTAATTTTCAGAGTAATAGGAAGATGGTGCCTATAACTCAGTAAGCAGCATGGTTTTTGCTCTGACCTCTCTCCCACACAGCTTCCCTGGTCCGTGCACAGCCTTGCACTTGACTTGCTCCACTTGACTAACTGTTGTGCATGGTCCACATTACGATTCATTCTGTGCTGTAGGGTTCTCTAGGTTTTAATGAGTCTGGGACACAGGCTCATTAAGAAGTACCACACGGAGGACTTCACTGCCCGAAGTCTAGAGTGCTCTACCTGTTTGCTTCCCCTTCTCACCTTGGTCTCTGTCAGCTATGGCTTTTTTTAAACTATTGATTGAGATTTGCCGGGGTAGTGGTCAGAAGGATGTAGCACACAGTCTCTTTAGACTGGGTCCTTCCATTTAAGTTCTTCATGGCTCTCTGTACTGGCTAGTTTTATGTCAACCTGACACAAGCTATAGTCTTCTGAGAGGAGGGAAACTCCACTAAGAAATGCCTCCATAAGATAAGGCTGTAGGCAAGGCTATAAGGCATTTTCTTAATTATTGATTGATGGGGGAGGGCCCAATCCATTGTGTGTGGTGCCATCCCTGAGCTGTGGTCCTGAGTTCTCTATGAAAGCAGGCTGAGTAAGCCATGAGAAGCCAGCCAGTAAGCAGCACCCCTCCTGGCTTCTGCATCAGCTCCTGTCTCCAGGATCCTGTCCTGCTTCAATTGCCCTGAACAGCAATAAGGAGGTGTAAGCCAAATAAACCCTTTCCTCCCAAGTTGTTTTAGTCATGGTGTTTCTTCATAGCCATAGTAACCTAGATGAAGATGTTTACCATGGCTAAACAGCTGATTTATCTTCATCAGTGAAGAACATTCCATAATCTAGCTGGTTCTCAGTTTGCTGTTCTGTCTGCCTGATGAAACACATTGTCATTGCTCCCAGGTTTCTGGTGATTATAAACAAAGCTGACATAAAAAGGCACCAGATCTCATTACAGATGGTTGTGAGCTGCCATGTCGGTGCTGGGAATTGAACTCAGGACTACTGAGCAGTCATATCCCCAGCCCTTCATGTAGGTGTTTGTATAATTATGTTTTCACTCATTTAGGTCAATATGTAGACGTGAGATCACTAGATCATATGGTAAGAATGTGTTTAGTGCTATAATAAACTGCCATTGTCTTCTAAAATGGCTGCACCATTGTGCATTCCCACCAGCAGCAGGAAATGAGAAAGACTATTGCACTGTATCCTTGCCAACACTTGTTACTGTTGAGTTTGTGCATTTAGTCATCCAATAGCAGTGTTACTTTGTTATCTGTTTATTTAAGACTTATTTTACTTTTGAATTTTTCAAGGTTTATTTCTTTTCATATGCATTGGGTTTTACCTGCATGTGTGTCTGTGTGAGGGTGCTGGATCCCCTGGAACTGGAGTTACAGATGGTTGTAAGCTTCCATGTGGGTTCAGGAAATGAACCCAGGTCCTTTGAAAGAGCAGCCAGTGCTCTGAGCCATCCCTCTAGTCCTGATTTATGTATATGTATGTGTGTATATATATATATATATGTATATATATATGTATATATATATCTGCATTTGTTTGCTTTCTTATCACTATGATAAAAAAAAATGAGAAAACCCAACATTTAAAATAAAGGTTTTATTTTGGCTTATAATTATAGAAGGCAGCAGTTGATGATAGTGGGAATGTCATGGTAACAGGTAGTCATCGTCAAGGACAGGAAGTTAGAGCTCACATCTCATCCCCACACAGGAATCAGAATGAACTGGAAGTGGGACAAGACTATACACTCTCAAAGTTTCCTCCTCCCGTGACATACTTTCTCCATCAAGGTTCTATAGACCAGGCTGGCCTCAGACTTGGAGATCCACCTGCCTCTGCCTCCTGAGTGCTGGGATTAAAGGTGTGCACCACCACTGCCCAGCTGCAATACACACTCTTAAGTATTGTGCCTTCCCTCCAGCCCCTAACTTTGATTTTGAAAGAAGTACTATTAATTCACCTGCTAAGTCTTATTTTGATATTTGAATGAATTTCATGGCCTGTGTCCCCCCCCCCCCGCCCCGCCCCGTCTCTTGGCCCTTTGCTCCTGTCTTTCTCGGAATCAGGTCCATCTGGCCCTCTGGCCCTTGGCTGTCCCAGACACAGACCTGCAGCTGCAATGAGCCAACTCTTCCTTACTCTCATCATTTTTCCAACAAGTGTTTGTTTACTCTTTCCTTATCCATGTATTTCATTAAAAGCCCAGCTCTCTCTCTAGTCCAACATGTCTGGTCTGCCCAGCATGCTCCACTCCTGGAC